CAAAGAGGGATGGCTAGGGTAAAAAGGTTTGCACCTCGCCACCCTGAGCATTTTTTCCGTCTTTTTTTCTTCAAATGCAATGCTTTTTAGTGCGATTACGCAAGCACGTGTGGACACGTTGCGGTGACCCCAGTAACTTCCAAGCGTGCCATGCTCAAATCGATCAATGGCGTGACATTTGGGTCTGTGACAAAATGATTTTTGAGAATATAGCATCATGTTTTGAGATAACGATTTTTAGCCGACTTTGAGAAGTATTGTAAATTCCAGGCATATGGTTGGGAGTGCGCAGCTTCTCAACTTCTGCGTATAAACTTCATGTATCTTTTTTTTTGTGAACCCTGGACAGAATAAGACCTCTTCTAGTGATTAAGTAGTGGCCTACAGTGCATAGACTCTGTCGCGACTGTGGTAGTCAATTGATGTGAGGTACTTACTGCTAAATTATACTGAGCTCTTAAATTGACATGCTATACTCGGACAGCATGGCAGTCAGCACTTTTTCAGCCACCGCTGGTGGGTGGTGAACTTGAACCAATATATTATGGTTGCGAGGATCCCTGCCATATGTCAAAGTGCATTAGGACTTCTACCAATCAGCCAGCGTTCATAGGTATGAGAAATTCCAGCCATTCAATTAGTATTGGATGTAAATTGCCAAGCATTGAAACAGGAACCTTAGCAGCCAGGTGTTCCTCGCCAACCCACTGCATGCTTGCCTAATACAAGAAAGACGCTGTGGAATGCCAAATGAAAAATTGCTTCTGCAGGGATAGCCCAATCAAGGTGGAAGGAGCTGCAATTTCTTTGGCAATAGCTCACACCCAGGCGGAGCATATATTCCCAGATTCGAAAGCAGCCCTTCGTAACTTGGCTATGCATCAAATTCATGTACTTTTTCATTGTATCCTACAATTCCTCCCTACTCCTAAACGAAAAACGCCAGGCCTGCACGGAAGGTGCAGCACAGTCGCAGCAAAAGCTAGAAGAGCAGCCCTTTAGAGCCTTTTCTAAACTCATTATAGAACTGCAGCAAGCACTTTTGCTGGGTACCCACTACGGCATTAGTAATAATAATTTCCGAGTAGTAGACCAGCATTTGTTATACTATTTTACGTCATTCTTCTGAAAAGTGTTGTATCCACAAAACACTTGCAAAGAATTTTGTGCCAATTGTTCACGCAGTGGCTGGCGAAAATGCGGCATTGTGCCTGAAGTGGATATGTGCCACAGTTAGTAGGTTATCAAAAAGAAGCTTTTGTAGATTGATTGATTGATTTGTGGGGTTTAACGTCCCAAAACCACTATATGATTATGAGAGACGCCGTAGTGGACGGCTCCCGCAATTTCGACCACCTGGGGTTCTTTAACGTGCACCCAAATCTGAGCACACGGGCCTACAACATTTCCGCCTCCATTGGAAATGCAGCCGCCGCAGCCGGGATTCGATCCCGCGACCTGCGGGTCAGCAGCCGAGTACCTTAGCCACTAGACCACCGCGGCGGGGCAAAAAGAAGCTTTTGTAATGGATGGATCATTGGACGACCTACTCATTACGCTAGTCGCATTGTGCAACGCCTTATTGGTCTTTTGCTGTTCTAAAATGCTTTATTACTAATATTAACACGATTTTTTTCTCAACCTCTGGCCTGGCTACGGCAAGTTGGCAAACAAGTCCCAAGCAATGGCGTGGCTCAGTGGTAGAATACTGGGCTGCCACACAGTGGACCCAGGTTTGAGCCCCACTGTGTCCTAGGTGCTAGGTTTCTTTTTCTTATTTTGCGATAGTAGTTACGGACACTGGTGGCGGTGGACAACTACGGCGCTACGCGTTACCGGAGTATTGATCTCGTAACAGGTTTCGCTGTAATAATCACTATTTTGTGGGTTGCCGCACATTGTGGACATCCCCGGAATACAACCGTCTATGAAGAAGCCGGAGCACTCATCAACCAGGCTATAGACTGTCTGCCTTCCTTTCACAGCGTGCGGAAATGCTTACTCTCCTATCGTGAAGTTACTTTACATTATCGCGATTCCCGTATGATCTACGCACCAGCACAAAAATCACTACAAAACTGCAATTCAGCCTTGTTGGAACATACTCATCTTGAAATTTTCGTGCAAGCATATAGGGACAAGGATGAGAAACAAATGGTTGCAAATCTAACAACACGGCTTATTTTTTTTTTTTTAAACGTTCACTTAAAAGGTGCGAGAGCTGTGCAATCTGGTCTAAAAAAAAACTCATGATCAGTGCCTATGGGACAACTTGTGATAACATGGTCAATGAATAGAGGACCAGCAGCGAATTTTCTTTTTAAAGTAAGGCAACCGATGGGTGGCTAATACACTTTTTTTTCCATTGTAATACACTTCAATTATCTCCCTCTAGGTTTAATTGTGATGCATATAATTTATGGCGGCGTTATCAAAAGAAGGCGAGCATGCACACTCATTGCAATGCAGCAATATGTGCTTTTTGATACACTTTATATTGCACCCATTTGTGTTTCTCATCTTTGTCCTCATATGCTTGCCTGAAAATTCTGTCTCAGGCTGTCTCAGACTGAGCAAACCGTTTGGCACCTACTTCGAACGGGCACATAAACCTCCCACCTCATCAATTCTCAAATTCACCAAGGTGACACCTTACCCCATTATAGTGTCTGCTCTAGTCCGCGAGCTGGTTCTAATCATTTACATTGAACTTTCCCGAAAATGCCCCATTTTGCGGCGACTGAGCGAGAGGAGCATTAAGGGACTGCTTTGCACAGATCACGACTGGAAGACCAACTCTAGTTCGTGTGCTGGGCCATAGGGATCGCTGAAGTGCAAGAACTTTTTGACAACTAGAGCGCCCTGAGGGCCTATGGTCAATTCTTCTCTGACCCCTTCCCCCCTCACTTTACTCATTCTTGGGGTCAATAAAGCTTAATCGCCCTGCCGCGGTGGTCTAGTGGCTAAGGTACTTAGCTGCTGACCCGAAGGTTGCGGGATCGAGTCCCGGCTGCGGCGGCTGCATTTTCGATGGAGGCAGAAATTCTCTAGGCCCGTGTACTCAGATTTGGGTGCACGTTAAAGAACCATCACTGAAATGTCGTAGTTCATTCTTTCCATACCCCCCAGTAGCTGTAGTACAAGAACATACCAGAAATTTAGAAAAACTATAGCACCAGGGGGCACACATCAGTCAGTGTACTAAAAGAAAGGTCACACTGCTATTAGACATGAACCTGGGCTTGCACAAATATTCAGGCTGTTCAAATATGCAAACAAATAATAACATATTTGAATTCAAATAATTTTTCAGAAATTTCTCACCATTCAAAAGTAACGAATACATGTACTATAGTAATCCACACATAAACCCCTGTGAAGGCGGTCTCACTGCCCTGAAGCAATGCTATACTGTGAATACATTAAAAAAAAATCTGCACTACTGTAAAGTCCTACTTTAAGGTTAATTGAATATTACCTTTCATAATTCTTTCTTTTTCAAGTTAGAGAGCTTATTATACTGGCTTATATGCTCTTAAGTATGGTAAATTTTAAAACGCAACATACTTTACAGGTGTTCCCTTGTACCGTACTGAAAACTAAATGCTTCTACTGTACAAAATCGTTTTTACTTTCTTTGAACCAAAAAAAAATGTCATCTGCAAATGCCTTGATTGAACAGCTGTATCTTGCCGGTGCTTAGCTACGGAGCAGAAACCTGGAGACTTGCAATGAGGGTTCAGCTTAAATTGAGGACGACGCAGCGAGCAATGGAAAGAAAAATGGTAGGTGTAACCTTTAGAGACAAGAAGAGAGCAGAGTGGATTAGGGAACAAACGGGGGTTAAGGATATCATAGCTGAAATCAAGAAGAAGAAATGGACATGGGCCGGGCATGTAGCGCGTAGACAGGATAACCGCTGGTCGTTAAGGATAACTAAGTGGATTCCCAGAGAAGGGAAGCGGGTTAGGGGGAGACAGAAGGTTAGGTGGGCAGATGAGATTAAGAAGTTTGCGGGTACGAATTGCCAGCAGCAAGCACAGGACTGGGTTAACTGGCGGAACATGGGAGAGGCCTTTGTCCTGCAGTGGACGTAGTCAGGCTGATGATGATGATGAGGGGTAGTAATCAAATTTCTCATTGGAATGTTTTATTTCATTTATCATGGTAACTTTCCATGAATGAAACAAATTTAAAACATTACATCAATATATAGAAAGTAAAACAAAGCAAGCTCCAGTATATAATTATAAATTAAGGAACACAGTGTGATTGGTGGCAGTAGTTCTTAGACTTTCTGCTAAGGCATTATCACTTCCGGGGAACTAACTGCCGAGGCTCACAAGTCGGTCGACCTCTGCTTCCAAATGCTTCTTTTGCAATTCGAGATGCCTCAGCGTAGACTGAACTTTGCTGACCTCCTCTTTGAAGATTTTTCTGCAGACTGAAAAAAAAAAAGCAGAACAACACAGTGTAATTCAGCACTGTCAGCAGTGTAAATTAGGGCAATGCACTTTTCATTCGTCATGCACAACCTTGCATGCAAACAATTGGAAGAATGAGATACTGTCTTTCTGTACCGCTTAGCTACCACACCCGGTATACCTTGGCATGACACACCAGGGTTCCAAATCATAGGATAATTACCCTAGCTGTAGGATATTTTCAGAATTTATAGGGCGGCACAGGGTAGCGGGGCGGTAATACCGTTTCTTCATCAGGTGTAAGGTAATTCCTACATTTTGCTTGTCATCGATCAGGAAAAGATTTCAAGTGTCGACGTGATGTACCCGGGGGAAGCATTCCTAGATGCACGATAACTTACATTTTTTTCTTTTATAAAACTGCAACTCACATGTCACAAGCATAGGGCAGACACGAAAGATAATGAGTGGGCATGGGATGGCAGCAGCGACAATGGTCGCTAAAAACCACTTCTGTCTTTTCACCCAGTTGGCCCTCGTCATCCGAACGTGCATCCCTGTCTGCGTGGTTTATGCCGTGCGCGTACCCAAGTTTGGCACGTGCCCTCTGCCAGAGGCTTGCAGCGATATCGGCGCCGATTTCCTGGGGGCCCTTCACCCACTGTGTGATGCGACACTAGAGTGTTTGAGGAAGGCCGCAACGACATCGACAGCGACAACGGTACACTGCATAAGCTCGGGAGCAGCGACAATGGTTGCTAAAAACGACTTCTGTCTTTTCACCCAGTTGGCCCTCGTCATCGGAACGTGCATCCCTGTCTGCGTGGTTTGTGCCGGGCATGTATCCAAGTCTGGCACGTGCCCTCTTCCAGAGGCTTGCAGCGATATCGGCGCTGATTTCCTGGGACCCCCTCATCCACTGTGTGATGCCACACTAGAGCGTTTGAGGAAGGCCGCAACGACATCGACAGTGACAACGGTGGACTACATAAGCTCGTCCTCGAAGCATCACCTGTTCAGTGGGCATGGGATGGCAGCAGCCATCCACTGAAACCACTTAAAACCACTAAAAACCACTTCTGTCTTTTCACCCAGGTTGGTTGTTATTCTATTCACTGTAGAAGATGTAATAACGTATGTTTGCTGCTACTCCCACGCCCACACATTTTAATGGTTACAGCTGGTGAATGTGTTCATGTTGTGAAATTGCTTTTATTAGGAGGTGACGTTGAACTGAATCCTGGTCCCCCAAAGCCAGACCCCAAAGTAGAGGATAATGCAGTCCTATTAGCTATAGGTCGCCTAACGGAGCACCTCGATGAGCGGCACGACAATCTTCTAGCATCCATTGATGTAGTCAAAAATAACCAAAAAGTTCTTGATAACAAAGTGTCTGACCTTACAACACGTTTAGCAAACCTTGAAGACAAGGTGAACGCTTTTGAAAACGTATCCGAGGGATCGCGTTTGGATTGTTCAGCTTGGATTGCGTCAGCGGTTCGTAGTGAGAATGCTGCTCTTCGCGCACGACTTGACTACGAAAACCGATCGCGACGAGACAACTTAATCTTCCACGGAATTACTGATGCTGCAGCCGAAACATGGTCAGACACAGAAGAAAAGGTTAGGGCAATTCTTTCAAGTTCTTTCGAGAAGCAGCTTTCAGATGACGCGATATCTCGAGCCCACAGACTAGGAGCATTTGTACCAAACAAGTGCCGCCCTGTTGTCGTACGGTTTGCGTCATTCAAAGTTAGAGATAACATCTTTTCCCAAAAAGCAAAGTTGCGTGGTACGAACATTACCATTAACAAAGATTTCTGTAAAGCCACATGGACAGCCAGAAAAAAACTAACTGATTTCGGTGAAGCCAGCGGTCAAAAGTATTTAGTAAAATACAACAAGGTTATTATTAACAAGAAAAGTTATGTGTACCGCCCAGTCACTGATCGTGTCTTGTCTGTTGTTCCAGTTGACGATAACAACGAAAACGACACTAACCTAAGTCCTCCTAGCTCGTCGGTCCAAGCGTCTTCGTAGCAAAAAACAAATCCACGACGTGGTACTGTCAAACACAATTGTTCCTTCCTGCTTAGTAATGTGAGAAGTATAATGGGCAAGCGAGATGCCCTGTCATATCTGATTGACACCTGTCTTTCAGACGCCGTCGTATTGACAGAGACGTGGCTTTCGGCTGAAGTAGACAGCTCCGAAATTCTAAATTGCGAAAAAAAATACAAGCTCCGAAATTCTAAATTGCGAAAAAAAATACAAGTTTTATCGATGCGATCGCGGATCGCGTTCCGGAGGCGGTGTCCTCATAGCTGTTGCAGATGATCTGGTTTCATCGCATGTAGCTCTCGTCTGCCCTCTAGAATTAGTGTGCGTTAGTGTTCGCTTACACAATAAAGACGCTCTCGTTTGTGTGTGCTATCGGCCTCCTAATATACCTGCTGGTTTTTCTTCAGATTTGTACTATGCCTTTAACATGCTTTATGTTCAGTTTCCCACCTCACATATTATTCTTTTAAGCAATTTTAATTTCTCCTACATTCATTGGAATTTTCCTTGTACCTTACCTGGCTCTTTTGTTAATACATGCTTAGAGTTTAACCTTAGCCAGTTGGTTGATTCCCCAACCCGTATCACGTCTGTATCGTGCTGTGATCGACACCGATCACAAACCGTTGCTAGCCATTTCGTCCAAAGATATCGGGAACATGCCCCCAAGACTTCAAAGATTTTTTCTGCGCTTATTAATATACGACTATGTTCTACAGTTTGTTCCAGGCAAAGAATTGGTCCTTGCTGACATGCTCTCAAGGGCCACACCATCAGAGCGTGAAGACACAGTGGATTTTGGCGACATTCAAGTACACGCAGTGGCCGTTTTGTCATCTTTAGTGAGTGAAAGAACGAAACAGCTTTTGTCTCGGGAAACATCTAACGACCCGGAGCTACGTGCGGTAGTAGAAAGCTTGTCGTTAAACAAAGACTTCGAAGGAACACTCAAGCCGTTCGCCTCGGAACTTTCAGTTGTCGACGGAATTCTTCTGAAGGGCTGTAAAGTAGTTATACCAAAGAAACTGCGTCCAGAAACCCTAAGCCGCATTCACGAGGGCCATCTTGGTTTAAATAAGTGCAAAGCTAGGGCACGGCGTTTAGTATTTTGGCCTGGTTTGAACTCTGACATTGCTGACGTTGTACGGAATTGTGCTGTCTGTAAAACCTATGCGTACAAACAACCGGACGAGCCCCTCTTGCTACGAACCCCTCCTGATCACCCTTGGTACCGAGTGGGCGTAGATCTTTTTTGTTATGCTGGAGCCACGTACCTTGCTGTTTTTGATGCCTATTCCAATTTTCCAGAAGTTGAAAAACTCGAGGAGACATCGGCAACTGCGGTTATCGACAAGCTGGCAGCCATCTTTGCAAGGTATGGAATACCGATGGAAGTCTGCACAGACAACGGCCCCCAGTTCGCAAGTCACCAATTCGCCACGTTCTCCAGACGGTACGATTTCAAACATATAACTTCGAGCCCAATGTTTCCACGTTCCAACGGGCTAGCAGAAAAGGGTGTCCAAATTATAAAGCGGCTGCTTAAGAAGACTGGGACCACACATGAAGATTTTTGGCTTGGGTTACTTGGTTACCGCTCTGCTCCCTTGCAGGATGGCCGGTCGCCGGCGGAACTTCTGCAGGGCAGGCCTCTACGCACTAGGATCCCCGACTTCAACCTGCAGCCCAAGAGTCCTGTAAAAAAGCGCCAGCAGACGTCGTCTGGACGACCGCTGAGACCACTCCTACCGGGAGACGTGGTTCGCGTGAAAGGCCAGGCTTGGTCTCAAAAGGCTAAGGTATTGGGAAAAGTAGCCCCGAGGTCCTACAACGTCGCAACAGGAGAGGGGAGAACGCTGCAGCGTAACCGCCAACAGCTGCTGGCAACCTCGGAGCCATTTACGTACTCCAGCGACAGTGACACTGACGTCGGAGATGATGACGCAGAAGAGCCTCCACATCAGAGCCCGCCTCGCGTGACTTCGCCGGCACCTAGAAGATCCGCGCGCATTAGGGAGGAACCAAGACGTTTAGCATACGGCCCCAACTTTGCTCAAATAGTTTAGCGGCTAGTTCCGGCGGAATACTGTTGAATTTGTATTTTTTCTATCGCATTGCACTTCTTTTTTACGCCTTGTTAAAAAAAAAGGATGGGAGATGTATCGTGCTGGGTCATGCTGACCATGACTCATGATGCGCACTCCGGTGCGCACCGACCGATTATGCCTAATATAAGCGGCGACAATAAACCCGGCAAGGCATTGCTGTATCCTGCTTCATCGGTGACCGTCTCAGTCTTTGATCAGCCTACCTGGGTCTGATACAACGTCTACTAGTTCTACCATATTAGACTTGGTGTTCACAAATAACCCTGATCTCATCCAGTTTCTGTCAGTCGTGTCAGGTCTCAGCGATCACTCTGCCATTCACTTTCTCGTACCGAACAAGCCATCAAAAATTAGTAAAACTACAAAAATAATCAGAGAATATGGGATAGGTGACTACACGTCAATTAATGCTGAACTGGGGACATTTTCACACGAATTTTTTTTCTAGCTTTTCTGAACACTCGGTAAACGAAAACTGGCTACGTTTTAGAGCTAAAATCCAAGAACTTACCAACCGCTTCATACCGCGCCGTAAAATAACCGATAACAATCGGTCTGCTTGGTTCATGCCTAATTTAAGGCGGCTACTTAATAAAAAGAAGCGCATCTTTCGAAGTGCAAAGCTCTCGGGCAACATCAAAAGATGGGATGATTATCATAGTGTAGCCGGCGAGTACGCACGCGCACTCTCACTTGCCAAGCACTCATATTTTGAACAAAAGTTGCCTTCTTTGTTAGTAACTAATCCTTGTAGATTTTGGCAGGTGATCGGTGGAAATAACAAAAACAAATCGACCTAGTTTCAGAGAGCGAATCATTTATTCCAAGAGAAAACTATTGCCTAGCTCTTAGTGTATTCGCATCATCATTTGTAAAAGTGGCGCCTACCACTGTTCCTAACTTGTCTACTCACAACTACGATCTAATGGAGCCAGTGCACCTTGATTGGGAGGGCATAAGGAAATTAATTGAAAATCTCAAGCCTTCTTCTTCTCCCGGAGATGACAGAATTAACACAAAGTTTCTTAAAAACATCGCATTGTTTTCGTCCTTAATACCGTCCAGAATTTATTCACAGTCCTTGGAATCGAGTACCCTGCCAAACGAATGGAAAGTGGGGAAGGTGGTTCCTTTCCACAAGTCAGGTAACACCAACGATTCCCACTATTACAGACCCATCTCACTAACTAGCGTGCCATGTAAGCTATTAAAACATGTCATTTACTGCAACTTAGTCAACTTTCTTGAGAATAATTCTTTTTTTACTAACTTTCAACATGGTTTTAGAAAAAGTTACTCGTGTGAAACTTAGCTCTTATGCTTTACTAATGATTTGTTCTCTGCTATTGATCGTGGTACTTTTATTTATTGTGTATTTATTGACTTTTCTAAAGCATTTGACACAGTTTGTCACGAATTACTACTTTTAAAGTTAAGTAAACTAAATCTTGACCCACACATCTTAAAATGGATCGAGTGCTTCTTACATAACCGCGAGCAATTTGTGACTGCTAATGAATGTAACTCTCCTCCTACTGCCGTAACCTCAGGTGTGCCTCAAGGCTGTTTTGGGTCCCTTGCTTTTTTTATATATTAATGATTTGCCTTATAACATTTCCTCCTCCATTAGATTATTTGCTGACGATTGTGTTATTTACTGTGAAATTTTGACCTCTAACGACACTGACACCCTGCAATCTGACCTGAACAATATTTCTTCGTGGTGTAATAATTGGCTAATGAAACTTAACACAAATAAATGCAAATCAATGAGGATAGCTCGTAACCCTTCAAAAGTTGCGTCCCCCTCATACCTACTTAATAACACTCCTCTAAACAATGTTTTTTCTTACAAGTACCTCGGTGTTAACATGTCTAACAACCTGTCATGGCAGGCTCACGTTGACTACATAACATGCAACGCTAATTGAACTCTTGGCTATTTACGTCGAAATTTTTCTCTTGCTCCAATTAAGCTAAAGCTTCTCCTGCATAAATCATTAGTGCAGGCCAAAACTCGAATATGCGTCGTATATCTGGGATCCTAATATTCACATGCTCATAGACAACATTGAATCCATTCAGAATCGCTCAGCACGTTTCATATTGTCCAATTACTCTCGAACTGCAAGTGTCACATTAATGAAGGCTCAACTAAATTTGCATAAACTCTCAATACGACGCAAAAATTCACGTCTTTCATAAGATCTATCACACTTACAGAACTCTCTCTGATTCACTGTTTTTTCCACCAGCCTACATATCAGCACGCAATGCCCATCAATACAAGGTTGAGGTTCCCTTCTGCCATACGAACTAGCACTTCAACTCTTTCATCCCTAGAACATGTACTCACTGGAAACACCTTCCTGCATCGATCGCTTCAATCACTGATGCCAACGCTTTCAAATCAATCATTTCTGAAAGTGCATTATAATTTATTCTAATCCTGCTGTTTTGTTTTACTTCTTATTGATATTTGTTGTCCCACTCCTCTCTGTAATGCCCAGTGTCTTGAGAGTAAATAAATGAAATAAAATGAAATACTCCGGCCTTTTGAGAGTGGGGCAATCAGTGCAAGCGATGGAGAAGGTGAAAAAGAAGGTGGTTTTCGCCTTCACGCTACCTTTGCGTGCGCAAGGTAAGATGAGAGTTTTTTCCATGATGGTGCCCATGGGCGGATAAAAGAGTCCGCAACTTACTTATGCACCACTACAAGTCTCGATGTGGTACAGTGAAGAGTAGTCTGTGCCTTCTTACACTGCGCTATTTTTAGGTGCAGAGTAAAATGTAGGGAGAATTCTGTAGTGTAAAGTAGGGTAATATTAACCATGACTTAGGGTATTTTCTGAAAATTGGCTGGCAACACTGTTACATGCACAGCTTACAATCGCGCATGCTATG